ATAGATGGATGACAATAGGAACATTGGTTTGAGAAAAGCTGTAATAATTAATTAGTCAAGAAACTAGAACTTGGGAGGGGATTACCGACTATCAAGGCAAGATGAACGGGATAATGTTTGATGTCAAATTAGAACATGATGTGATGAAAATTGATGCCGTGCAATGCAATGAGTGAAGAAGGAAGGGTATATAAAGGGAGAAAATACAATAGGATACTAAGATGTTTTGATTTTTGTTTTTTGGTGTGTGGAGGATGAGGGTGAGCGTGGGGTTGTTGTCAGAGAGCACAAAGTAGGGTTGTGATGTGGCCCAGATGATGTTGGGGGTCGAATGAGAGATTAGTCAGCCCAAAAGTGGGGGATGGAGTCAGAGCCCATCCACTTGACAAAAGTGGAGAAAATAGCCGAATCCTTTGTTCTGCAAATAACTAGGCGTTTAATTGACAATTTGGCATCTGCGTTTTGCACCAGGCATTGCATGTGTAGGCAATGGGAGATTAATGTAAGCACTAAGTGATGATTGTTATGGTTGTAAATAATAATCAAGTGATAAGCGGCTTGTTCCAGCTTAAATAAGATCTCGAGTTTGAGACCTTGTATGCAGCAGACCCCGCTGGGAGACTCACCCACCATTTTCAGGTATGCAACGCGGGTCGAGTCCGGACTAGTTGGGGTGAAGCCCTAGATATCGGGCGGGAAAGAAAAAAAATAATAATAATAATAATAATAACGCCTGAATATCGTGGGTGTATTGCATTAATTAATTAATCTGGATTTAGTGGCCTTTATTACATTGATGAGGAGATTATTAGAGATTGGGTCTAGATAAGACAAAATAGAATTCAGTGGAGTACCACCTGGGTGAGATGGAGACTAGGAAAGATCGGGGAAGCAGCTGGGCAACCGTCCATGTGACGAAGACCCATATATCCAGGCTACAATTGGCCCTTTAGTTTATTAAATTTAAAATTTTTAACCCCTTATCTTATATTATTATGAAACTTTTAATCCTTAAACTTAAAAGTTTGAAAATTTTAACCCTTGATTAAAGAAATCCGTTAACTCTCCGTTAAGTAAGAAAAGAAAATTTACAGAATCAGTCCTCAAAAATTAAAAATATAATAATTTAATTCTAAAAGTTTAAAAATTTTAAAAAATAGTAAATTAAAAATAATTAGTGAATGTCTTTATCATGTACATAAGAACAATATTAAATATCTAAAATAAAATTAGGTGATTAGCTTAATTTAAAGAAGAAAATTTGATTGAGACTAAAGAAAATTTTTTAACTATATTCTTTTTAGTCTTTTAGAATTTTTGTTTCGATTCAGTTAAAATTTTTTTTTT